TGTGCTTGTATGGTTGTGAAACACTTACTTTACAAGGGGCAGTGTCAGCTATTAATATAGACAGACATAAGTGAAATAATTAAATTAGATTTAACTTATTGTCATTGCAGGTGCTGAGATGAAAATGAAATACAGCAGGTGCAAAAAAAAATGCCAAGGTCAGACACACACGAAGAGAATTTCCTTCAGTTGTTGAGTAATTGCATCTGCATTGCATCATGGTATTGACTTGGTGCTAATCAAATTTGGAGCCCAATGCAAACACTTTGATTTAATGCAGTGAGTTCTTTGAATTAAAACTCCTATCTCCAACTGGCTTTTACTACAAATATTACAATCTTTTAGTAATATGAGGGATCACGCAAGAACCACTTGTGCTTTCTCAAACAATTCAGGATAAGTTTGACTAATGAAAGCCTAACTTTAACGAACTTGAAAAGAACTGTGATCTGTTTCCTGACTTTTTCACTATTATTTAATATCTTTAGATTTTGAGCATTCTGTCATAACAACTAATTTTAGTTGTTTCTTACACAGGGCGGCTCTGCAATGGCATGGTGTTAAAACCTTTTTCTGGACCTGTAATACCACCAATGTTTTCATCTGCTAATTTCAGACAACAAGGTTTCAGGCTCACTGTTGCCAGATAGGACAGTGTTCCACCGAGCTGGGCTTCTTTTTATTTAAATGGACAGGTAATGACAGATTTGGGCATCTTTTTGCACCACCGGTGTAGCAGCTATGCTGGAGATTGAAAGGGCACGTTCTATGCTTGACATTTATCCAGTCATAGCTCTGTAATAAAATACTTTTTATTTTTCTTCAGCTCTTATCCAGCACTTTATATATATAAGGATGCTGAGATTCACCAATTAGCAGTCATGCATAAAAGTCCAAGATGCAATTGCACTGGTTAAAAAAGTGTATCGCACACAATTTGGGATAAAATCAGGATTGCGTAGTTTCGGTAAAAATCTATTTATATATTATTATTAGATGAGGCCCTGTTTCTTTATTACTTGGAAATGTGACCAGTAATATCAGACCAATAGTTATATATTTATTGATTCCTGCTTTCTTAACTGTTTGCCAAACTGCTTAAGAGGACTCAAAGAAATAAAATCAAACTATCTGCACTGAATTACATAGCATCATATTCTTTTGCATCGCATTGTATCACATTGATTCACAGTGTTGAATCTGATCGTGTCAAATCGCACTTAATCGCAACAGTAGTGAATCGTACGGCACTGGTAGCCACTTCATATTATGTATCTTTAATGTACTGCAATGCATCGAGATGCATATCTCATCAATCTCAGTGATGGAGATGCACATCCCTAGGATACATAATAACCAAAACGGTTAATTGAAAAAAAAAAGGTCTACATAATCACCATGACAGGAGTTGCCAAAAATCAATACGTTTTATTTTTAAACAATGAAGAAGACCAAAAATACCTAAAAGTCAAAATAAGTTTAAAATAAGCAAAAACAATAAAGGTTTGATGAGCCAAAATGAACATATAGAAAGGGACGTAGGATCCAAGCTCCTTCTCTCTACCATAAATCCTACAGTAAACCTAACTAATAGAAATAAAAAAGAAAACTGAACTTGTGGAAAATGCCCTCCTACTCTAACCCTCCTCTACCTGCCTGCTTCCTCAGAGTCTTTATAGCCAGCTCACCTTTGGCAAACTCTCTGAGAACAAAGAAGCTGGCTGGCTTCATGTAGATGCGTCATCACTCCAAATGTTTGAACTGCGTATCTGATAAGTTTCCTTTGGTTTAAATGCAGTTATTGCTTTAGTAGTTTATGATTGTTTGCTGTTTTGATTAGGTTTAAATAGTGTTATTTTATCTTTGGTAGATAAATAAATTCTGTTTAAAGTTAACTTACCTTTGTTGGATTGTTCATTATTTAAATTAGGAATAGTGATTAATATCCTCTTATCTTTTTCTTCTGTTATCAGACAAACCCGTTTAATCTCTTCAATCAAATAAAAGATTGGACTCGAACTCTTGCATGTGCTCATCTGTCCTATATAGACAAGCCACTGAGTTGATATCAATCCTGAAACCAGATTACCCTAAAATAAATCAGTCTACCCTCAAACTCAATATTCTTCAGAACTACCAGTCCCATCAGAAAACAAAGAAACCACCAAACAAACTAAATATCACTCCACAGTGACTCCAGTCACGTGAACAGAACGTCTGGCTGTAAAGAGGAGCAGAGAGCTAAAGTCTCTGCCCCCTCTTTATTGGTTTTACTGGAGGAGATCAGCCACAACTGAGAGGAGAAAGAAAGAATACAAAAATGTCCCTGCACGAGGCTTCATGAGCAAACCACAGGAAACGCTGGTGTATCTCAGTTTCCCCTAAAACGGTTGCACTCACGGTCTCAAGAAGATCCTCGGTTGTGAGGTTTTTACACTACATCGAATTAATGTGTGAGTGAAAGTGCACTGAACTGAATGCGGGTTCATTGGTGTCATTGATTGATGATCAGAAGTCTGTCAGGATTTTACATATTGATCACAGTAAGTGCAATGTATTGATTCCAGAGGTTCCCTGCCATGGTTGATAGTAATCCCTGTCACATTCTGCACTTACATTCCTCCATCTTGTGCAGTAATTCTTCATTTCTGTGTCAGACACTTTCTCTAGCATGATACTCCTGACACACTTCACCTCTTTTAATTTTTAATTTCACGTTCAGCCTAATATTTGGAGGTTTATTTTTCAGCGTAATTGTAAGATTTTACTCAAATTGAACTTCTACTAAGCCACTTGCTACTGAAACAGACCGTATAACACATGACTGAATACCATGTTGCCACCTAACACTAAAATTAACATTGCATAGTGTTTTATTAAAGTCATTTGTGACCCAATCATGACCTCGTGGCACTCTCAATACACTTCCATTCCCTTGCTCTGAATGTAAAATAACCTGGCTACTTGCCAAATTCACCCAAATGAACTCTGCTCGCGCTCTCCTCCATCAAACTAATAGAACATAGTCTTTACCACTGATCTTGACCCATAACTAATTTTCCTGAATATCTCGCCTTAGTTCCTCTATGTCTCTTTAGCTGCTGATGTTCTGAGTTCCTCTAAATTTAATGCGGCGCGACCCCATACTGGAGTTATCTTGACTCATAACCATTCGCCTTGCTCTCTTGCTAAACTCCCCGTATGATTGATAAAACGCTTTCTCTCTTCCATCGATCTGTGAGTGCTCAGAAACTTTCCTTGCTGTTTTTAATAGTTCATTGTCCTCCTCATTCTTCCCACATTTTTTTCGGTTGCCTCCACCTGTCACCGCATCAAGGTTAGAGATTGCAGGGGTCACACCCTGCAACACAGAGCCAGCTGCTGGCATAGGCAATACAAATGCTAGGGGCATGAAGGAATTCTGAGGGCACACGACAGGGAGGAAAATACAACTGTATAACAAAAAAGCTTCATGGTTGCTTAACATTGTTCAGGGGAAAAAGGCAAAGTGGAACACATTTATGTGCCACCTTGGGTGTTCGCCACTGCTCCAACTTTACACTCTCCTCTAATGCATGCCTGGTCTCTTTAATCCAAACTTTTCAGAAGCCAATACCAACCCAACTTCAGTTCACCTTTCCACAACTTTTTCACCCATTCTCTCTTTCTATCTATCTCTCTCCCGCTCTGTCACTTTGCATATCTGCTGTCGATCAAGGTTAGCAATCACACGATGCCCTATGCCTCACATTCACCTCCAGGGCCCATGAAACCTCTCGCTGTGAGAGAAAATTAGTTTACCTTCAATTAGCATATTACTCCAATTAGCGCGTTACCCTTCGCCCCATTATCACTAAAGTCTAATAAAGAAAGGCTAATTAGAAATTAATCTGCTTATTTTCTTTTTTCTTAATACAAACGACCTTCGAACACTAATACAGGATAAGACAGGATTTTTGTTAGGGGAAAATGAATCATTAATTGTTTCAAAGTAAGAGCGTGTTATCACCCGAACAAGGAGAAAATCCACAACAAAGCTCAATTCCAGTCAAAAGCAAAGATCATCAGGTTCAAAGGAACAAAAATGTCCATAGTAGAAAGTCTGATCAGAATTTCATTAATTTTTTTACAAGTTTATGAACTTTATAGGGCTTAGAAGTATACTCCAGACTGCTAAATGTTTGAACTCCTGTATTCTGAGTATGTTTAATTGGCTTTTAAGTCCTTTGAGACATTTTTATCATTCCAAAGACCCAATAAACTATAAATGCAAGGATAAACTAATCACAGTTCCGTTTAATGTCGACCATATTAACTCATCTTTCCCAAACTAAAGAGTCAAGTGTATGTGAACAAAGTCATCAGGAGAGCACTCCAGTAGCTGCTCCACTGACCAGGAATAGGACAGCAGATTCAGTTTTTATGGTGGAGTCGGGTTTATGGAGCTGTTAGGTCTTGTTTATTTTATAGCTGACAGGAAAGAAATTGGTTTGTGTTAACCTGGCTGTGTAATTAAATGCTAATTAGAAAATGGCACATAAAAAGCCTCTGTATGGAAAGGTGCTGACACATTTTGAAAGGATAATTATTGTTGGCGTTAAGACTAAAGACACGGAAGGCTGCTGCAAAAGTAAGGAAATATCTATCTGTGTATGTCAACATGTTTGACAACAGGATTTTAATTTGGACACTTGCCTTTAAAAAGGTTGCTATTCAGCTGCCAACTCTCAAGTCTTGAAAGATTGAAGTTCAAGCAGCACTTGAATGTATCACATCACAACAACAACAGCAACAAATAGTCTACAAGATTAGCTATCACAAAGCATTCAGCAGTAGACTTTTACCGAGGCTGTCTACAAAAAGGGCCAAAGCCGACTACTTTTTCCTGAGGGAGCTGAGTCCATTTACGACAGCTGAACCGGCACGATGCTGAGGGTTCTTACGACGTCTGATTAAGTGGCCAAGTACGATCTTCTTCGCTGTCTTTTATTGCTGGCAGGGGCACAAGGTCGCAGGACACCAACAGACTTAACAACTGATCAGGAGGGCCGGTGATGTCGTGGGGGAGGAGCTGGACACTCTGACGACCGTGGCAGAGAGGAGGATGCTGTCCAGGCTTCAGTCCATCTTGGACAATGTCTCACACCCTCTCTACGACACACTGGCAAATAAAGGCAATAAAAAGGCCAAAATAATATATCTGTAAAAAAAATTTAAAAAAATAAAGCACTTATTTACTTACGTATCAGTAAAGGTATCAGAATCAGTATTGGGAAGGAGTAAATGTTATTGGAACATCTCTTAGTTCATTATTCAACAGAAAATTAATTGACAACATTCGACTGTTGGTTGGACAAAAGAAGTAAGCTGAAAACGTCAACTTGAGCCTTAGGGAAATTTGTCTTGACCATTTTTCTCTATTTTGTAATAATTATAAAAAATTTTGAATCTTCATTTTTACTGCAAATGTATACAGTTCTAAATATCAGTTATGCATTTCCTTGATTACTAAATCGGTATCTGCATCCGCCCTGAGAAAATCGGTCAACCCCTCATTTTACCTCAATTCCCATACACATTATATAATTTCTTAACACATTATGTAAATTATTGTAATAAGGAACAAAAAAGATTTTTTTTTTCTTATTTAAATCTCAGCACAAAAAATTAAAGCACAATTCAAAAAATATCACTACAAACTCAATTGTTTAGAATAATAAATTTAAAAAGTACTGATGTGTATTGTGCTTGACAAACTGAAATTCAGGTCCACTGTGTAGGATTTAGTTGCATCTAGTAGTAGCACATCACAATTCCCTCACTTTCTCCCCTTCCAAGTGCAAAGAAGAAACTATGGAGGCCACACAACGCTTCGCCAGAAGAGGACTGTAGATACACAGCAGCTCATTCTAAGCTAACAAAAACATAACTATTTTTATATTCAAATGATTATACACTAAGGAAAACATTATATAGTAGCCAACAGTACATAATATTATATCCAATTTTCCCTTTAAATTTTACACACTGGAGCTTTAAATAAAATCAAACTCAAATAACTCTCCTTACAGAATATTACAGCTGCACCAAATGTAATTGTCATTTTATTATTTTATTGTCATCTGTTAAGGTGCGACTACTGAAAATAAGATAGACCCCTGGAGCCCTTAAAATGTTATCCAATGGACACCCATCTGACACAGCCAAAAAAACATTAGAAATGTATGAACAAAACCTGAACATTATACCCAGGGGCGGACCTAGATGCAAATGCCATTAGGAGCACTAGGAGGAGACAGAGGAAACCAGATTCACATATTATCTGTGTCAGGTACTACTGTTAGGATGTAGTGAAAGTTCAGCAAATATGACAAAAATATTTGTATAAAAAAGGTACCTACTGCAGCTTTAACACATTTATTTGAATTTTAAAAACGGAAATTAGCACATACTTTAAAAATTGTAAAAAGAAAATGTCTTAAAATTTGATAAAACAGTGCTGATTTCTAATGCCACCTTTAGATACAGCTATTCAATGCTATACTAATGTGCCACATTAATGAGTTCAAATATCTTCATTTGGGGGCAACTAAGTATTAATATATTGATTGCAATTAAATCAGCATATAATTCTGCCACCCCTAAAAGTCTTCATGACACCCTATATGACTATTTATCCGCCCCTGATTCTCTTAAAAGTAGTGTTTTAAATGGTTTTTGAATTGAATTACAGTCACTTTTTCAGTAATTTGAGTTAAATCTGTCTGCTTAATCATTCATTATGTTGTAGGCTATTACAAGAGCAGATAAGCGGACATGGACGGATGAAGTGGACGAAACAGAATGATAACGACCTTAATGCCATGTCAGAAGGCATTGCATGTTTAGCAAGCTGCCTCTTACATGCACATATAGAATTTTCCAAGGTTTCAGCTGCATATTGAGCGGTGCCCTGTGTCGTCATTAGTGACACCGCCGCGATAACCGAGCGGAGGAGATGAAAAAGAGCCGAAATAATCCGACAAGGTCACTATCCTGTCATTATTGAGCAGCCTAGCACACATTTTAAGCACATTACATAATCCCAATGGAAATGCACATTAAACAATATCATAAAACCCCATACGTCACAATGAACCCAGCGGGCCTACTAGGCACCACTGAACACCGCACGCGCTTCATAGCCCATATAGGGATGGTAATTTTCCTTCAGACAACCTAAAGGACAGCGCGGAGCCATCCGTTATCTAACCGGCAGCCGCTCTCCAGCCATCCGTTCTGCGGGCTCTTACCGCGAGGTGATGGCCGGCGGTGGTGTACTTGGCGTCGCTGGTCGCTGGAGGAAACAGGATGAGAGGTCGCGGCTTGATGCACGAGCTGCACAGTTCCGGTGATGAATGAAAGACGGACAGACCGGCTTCTGTCGAAGGTCCGCTGGAGACTCAACACGAACCACAAGCCCCGCCCCTTCCCAGTTCTCTACGTCAAGCCTCCGTACTGGAGTCACTGGAGCGGCTCAGCATCACCGCAGCCCTCCCCCTCTGCTATCTGAGTGTGTGTGTGTGTGTGTCTGTGTGTGTGTGTTTTAATGCCTAATAAAAAAGGCAATTAGAAATAATCTGCTTATTTTCTTTTTCTTAATACAAACGACCTTCGAACACGTAATACAGATAAGACAGGATTTTTGTTAGGGGAAATAATCATTAATTGTTCAAAGTCAAGGAGCGGTAATCACCGAAACAAGGGGAAAATCCACAAACAAAGCAATTCAGTCAAAAGCAAAGATTCATCAGTTCAAAGGAACAAAATGTCCATTGTAGAAAGTCTGATCAGAATTCATTAATTTGTTTACAAGTTTATGAACTCTTATAGTGGCGTTAAAGTATACTCCAGACGCTAAATGGCTTTGCAACTCCTGTATTCTGAGTATGTTTTAATTGGCTTTTAAGTGCCTTGAGACATTTTCTATCATTCCAAAGACCCAATAAACAATTAAAGGCAAGGATAAACTAATCACAGTCCGTTAATGTCGGACATATTAACTCATCTTTCCAAAACTAAAGAGTTCAAGTGTATGTGAACAACAGTCATCAGGTGAGACACTCCAGTAAGCTGCTCCATCGACCAGGAATAGGGACAGCCGGATTCAGTTTTTATGCGTGGAGTCGGGTTTATTGGAGCTGTTAGGATCTTGTTTATTTTATAGCTGACAGGAAACGAAAATTGGTTTGTGTCTAACCTGGCTGTTTCTAATTAAATGCTAATTAGAAAGGCACATAAAAAGCCTCTGTATGAAAGTGCTGACACATTTTGAAAGGATAATTATTGTTGGCGTTAAGATAAAACACGGAAGGCTGCTGCAAAGTAAAGGAAAGTATCTATCTGTGTATGTCAACATTGTTTTTGACAACAGCGATTTAATTTTGACACTGGCCTTAAAAAGGTTGCCATTCAGCTGGCCAACTCTCAAAGTCTTGAAAGATGAGATTCAAGCCAGCACTTGAAATGTATCACTCACAACAACAACAGCAACAAATAGTCTACAAGCATTAGCTATCACAAAGCATTCAGCAGTAGACTTTACCGACTGTCTACAAAAAGGCCAAAGCCGCTCTTTTTCCTGAGGAGGCTTGAGTCCTTTAACATCTGCCGGACGATGCTGCAGGATGTTCTACGAGTCTGTGTGGCCAGTACGGATCTCTCGCTGTCACATGCCTGGGTCAGTGCTCCAAGTCGCCAGACACCAAAAGACTTAACAAACTGATCAGGAGGGCGGTGATGTCGTGGGGAGGAGCTGGACACCTGGACACTGTGGGCCAGAGGAGGGCAGGGATGCTGTCCAGGCTTCAGTCCATCCTTGGACAATGTTGCACACCCTCTCTATGACACACTGCGCCCAGCAGAGGAGGCTCCTTTCAGCAGAAGACTCCTCCACCCAGATGCACCACCAGGAGCGCCACAGGAAATCATTCCTGCTGTGGTCATCAATCTCTACAACGCCTCCCTCAGAGATTCAGACACCCCCCCCCTGTATCTGACTCAAAATTATATACATTTATTCATTCTTTGCCACTCTTTTGCAATTTTATTATTACTGTATATTGATCTGCATATATATACTATATATATACTATAGTTATATAGTACATATGTATATATTATATTTTTTTTGTGTTGGAATGTTGCTATATACATTTATGTTGTTGTATAATA